GCACCAGTCGTAAGTGTGAAAAATGATCATGTCACTTTTTTCAGTGATGTTGTAACTTCGAACAGTCACTAAACGAACTGTTGTAAGTCTAGGACTACCTGTATTCTGTATTTAAACAGAGAAGGAAAAACAGTTCAATGTTTTCCTCTCATATACAAGGTCTAGATCAGACCTGTACAACTTGTGGAAGAGAAAAGGCCATATTGGTACATTAAAAACCATAGCAGATTGCAAAGCTATACTTAGTGCCCTAATCAGTTGTTTGACAGCACTAGAGTTTGCAGGGGTGAAGCTTGGAGGTACTCACAGCTTGTGTTTTGGGGCAGCAGCAGTATGTCTGTATTAGACATCAACTGTTATCAGTTTGCTTTGGTAAATGTGTGCTTTGCATTTCCATAAAATGTTTCAAAACTCAGCTATTTGACAGCACTAGAGTTCACAGTGGTGAAACTCATAATGGGATAATTGATCCCTCCAAATGGCTGAAGAGCTCTCATTTAAATGAAGGCCAATGAAGTTATTCTAAGCAGGTAATTGATTCAGTTATGTTATAGAGACAGATCATGATTAGGGTGGTTAATCAATTCCATGAAATAATCATATTACTTGAATTTGCACTGTTTGAAGTAATATTTCTATGGGGGGAAATAATTGGTTCCAGAGCCACAGAAATAGCCAAAGAACATTGTAAAGTTAACCTTGTATATCTTTTTAATGAAATACTGTATAACAAAAAAAGAGGATAAAGTGTACCTGTTAATATTCTGTGCTAGTTCTTCAAACTGAGCCTATTCTTTTTTTTTTTTAACTTTTTTTGAACTGAACCTTCCTTTTCTCCATTTTGCACAAAAATCTTTAGCATTTAAAACCCCAGCTGCAGTTGGGCATGCACCACCCTCAATTATACATGCGTGCTAAGTTAGCCACACATTAACTGAATTTTGTTTTTTATTCAATGTGACCTAGTATCAATTTATAGTTCGTGTTAAATTAAATATTTTACTATTTGAACTTGCACTAATTGTGACCTACCTGTACATATGATGGGATTTAGGAGTTAAGCAGGCAATGATTACTAAAACCACAGCCTTGAAATGTGAATTTAAAACTCTAAGTCTATTCCATGCAGGAATATAAATTAAAATATCCCCAAGAGATGTTTCTCTTTGAATTAATTCATGAAATGTGGCTCATTACCATTTCCCTAGGTAACTGATTCAACTGTCAAAATATTCTTCTTGCTAGAAATCTCTTCCTAAAATTCAGCTGTAGTTTAGAAAAAAGCATTCAATGCCTTGTAGCCCAGAATGGCAGAGAGAAAACAGATTATGGCCAAGGTAACTTTTCAGATGCTTGAAAAGTATGTTGGCATATGTTGCTTAGTTTTCTCTACTCAGGGTTAAATATACTTAGCTTCATTTTTTTCTCAGAGAATTTAGTTTCCAGTCCTAAATTCTTGATCATAGTTGCTTCCCTCTGAAGCTATTTGAGGCAACGCCCTCTGAATCTACTCCAATTTGCCCAAGTGTTGCACCCAGAGCTATACACAGTATTCCTTATTTAATATATCCCAAACTGAATTGCCATTTTCTGTACTCATCTCATATTGTTGACTAATATTTAGACTCAGATTGAAAAGAATCCTGGAAATGTATTCAAATACTTTCATCAAACTAGATAGTGTTTATGTGTGCCTCTGGATCTGACTTGCATTTGTGGGAGCCATCCTTTTCATGTTTGCATTATCTATATACAACAGCTCTAAAAAAATATATATAACCTTATTGTCCTCATCCCAATAGAACTTAATTTCTGTTTTTAATCATACAAGCAATTGCCCTTAGATCACATGGAACCAACAGCCACACATCCCTGATATTATCCAAGATAATCTGATTGCAGTTTCACCAGAACACAACAGATTGTTTTCATAGTTCAAAATCCAAACCACATTTCTCAAATTTAAATATATCCTTAATCTTTTAAAAATGTATTATACATACATGCATCGGCCTGATTGAATACACTCAACAATTAAAATTGTTGTGTTAATTAAAGAATTTGACTATTTGTATAGAAGCTGTTAGTCTGTAGAGATTCTCAGTCATCCAGGTCATGGTTATCCCAAAGGTGCTTTTTTCTGGAGGCAACTGGAGTTTCTTGTTTTTTCTTTTGAAGATGTTTTGCTTCTCATTCAAGCAGCTTCTTAAGCTCTGACAGGTTAGTAGATAAGAATCCAAACGTCTTCAAAAGAAAAAACAAGCAAGTCCAGTTGCCTCCTGAAAAAGCACCCTTGGGACTATGGAAGCTGATATTCAGGCAAAGAACTCTTATACTTCCAAATTATTGCCACAAGAATAAAATTGTTCTAGCTTAGAGAATGCCATAGCTGATTATTCCTGTATTACAATATTAGCAATTGTTTATTTTAACTTTAAACAGAATTAAAGTTCTGTATTGTCAGAACACTTACTTCCTAATAAAAGCTATTCCAAAGGTAAATGCAGATTATTTTGCACTATATTCAAAATGTGAATAGACCATTAAATCATTTATTTTTGAACAATAGTAGTAGTTTTCACTTGTAATAGTGAAAAATTAAGACATTCTCCATTAATATATCATGACTGTGGGTGGTATATAAGTCTAAGTGCTATTGCTATAATTCAGAAGAGATAGTGTATTGGGCTAAATATATCTTCAGATTCAGAAAGTCATCCAAATCTGCTACTGATTCGTTGAGAAAATGTGCAAGATAAGCAGTAAATAGAGCCACCTTGTGGCATTTGGGAAAAATATTGTTTTTGTCAAAACAGATTTTTGTTCTTGTATTAAATATAAACTGCTCTAACAAAATTTAATGTCCTTTTTAGTCTACATTTTCATGCAAACCTGCCACACCTGACATCTCTTATTGGTTCAGATAAGAATGTCACATGAGGCCACATATCTTGTAACAAGAGAGAACAGGAATTGTTGTCTGTCACACTGGTTGTACTTTTGTCATGAATAGCTAAATTATTTTTTCTTATTTCCATAATGAAGAACAACCATTACTGAATGACACCTCATTAGAACTTCTCAGACAGATAGCAGTCCTGGTCATATATTTTTTAAAAATTACAAAAATATCAGTGTAAGAAAAACAGCTGAAGAAGTGATCTTTTAAACATTGTGATTCTCTACTGTAGATTATTGTGTAATTTAACAGCAAGATAATCTCTTCTTATATTAATGAAGTTACAGCTACTTATGAAAAATACAGATAAAGCCATGTCTTTATTGTTGCAGAGATTAAAGCTTAAAATAACAAAGGTATGGATGCCTCAGCATTGAGAGTTGGAAGGCAAGACTTTGATAAAGTACAATTGTCCTGAAACATTTATTGAAGTCAAGGACAGCAATTAGCCTTAAAATAAATATTGAAGGAAGAATTTGAAGTTGACATTTTATTCATATTGGAGTGAATGGGAGATTAATTTAAAAGGAAAATAACAATACACACAAATGCCAGCATTCATATTTTAAACCATCTTGTATAATATATTTCACTCATAAACAATTACATTATAAATGTAAAAAAGCTAGATGATACAAAATTCTAAAAAAAAAAAAAAAAACAATTTGATTGAAAATAAACATTTGGGATTTTGAGGAATCCAACTGAGGTGCCATCACTGAAAAAAATCAGTCTCCCTTTGCCAGTCACCTCATTCTACACCCCCCCTCCCAACACACACATACACACTTTTATTTTAATATGCAGGAAATACACTATGGAAAAAATCATCTCCATAGTATATATTATCCATACAGTGAAGAAAACAAATATCCATACAACGTCTGTATATGGATACACATTTAAGATTCTTCTCTGCTGACTTCATAGCTATGCCTCCAACATGGAAAAAGGGGGGGGGGGAGATGGTGTGGTTACACAGATACTTTTCCATGCATCTAATTCAAATCCCTTCTTGATGTAGAACATACAACAAAAGCATCATTAACTTCTATTTGAAGATCTCCCACAAAAAACCAACATCCATTTCTTTAAAAAAAAATTGGCTTCACTGTGAAAGTCCTTGCCCAACTAATCCTTAAACTTTTATGTGACAGTCATTCAGATATTTGAAGTATATACAGTAGTACCATCATATTGTCCTTCCTTAAATACCACCAAAGCCTATGAATTCCTTCAAGCTATTTTCATTGGATTTGATGCTTTCCTCTGAACATTTTGATCAATAATCTCGGCAGGCAAGATTATCCACAGTACTCCCAGTCTGCATTTAATCTATAATTAATGTTCCTTATTACAAGTGAAGATCAGAAGAAGGGAAATATTTTGCATTAGGGCAAACATTTAGAGAACTGATCCATTCTGTCTTACTCATCGGAAGACTGTTAGTAAACATAACCTGGACACAGATTTCAAGGGAAACTATTTTGTGAAAAATTGACCACACGTGTTTAGGGAAGGCTATAATAAACTCTAAACGAAACACTGGGAAAATAGGTGTAAGACCTGCTAGCATGGAAAAGTTTGGTTGCGCCTTCCCGTAACTCCGCCTGAGCGCCGATTTTCCCGCATTTCAGAGGAGCCCAAAAGAGGAACAGGCATTATTACACCTTCCGACTCCCACACAACCGATTGTGTAGGAGTTCAAGAGACACTTCGAAGCTCCCCTCTCAATTATCCTGTCTTCCTTTCAATCGGCCTGCCTCGCCAAAAAACTACCAGCTCCCCCTCCCGTTCATACGAAACACGGATTCTCTTTCCCCATCCCTGGCGTGAACCAGGAAGCAAAACGCTCCTCCAATGCAATATGTCTCGGAGACCTTACCAACTTTCAGGTGCGTGGACTTCAACTCCCAGAATGCCCTCCAGCCAGCAGGAAATTCTGGGAGTTCAAGTCCACACAGCTGAAAGCCGTGAAAGTTAGGAAACGCGGCTCTAACATTCCCTTTCTATCGTCACACCGAGGAAGGTGGGAGAAAGAGCTGCGCTTGCGCATTGCACGATTTCCTGAGTGGTTGGCGACCGCGGCCATTTTGTGGACCCTTTGGTTCAACGCTCCCCCTCCCCACATCAGCGTTCTATGACTCCTACCTTGGGGGCTGCCGAGGCTAAGAAAAATCGAGGGGCCTGGAGCGGCTCGGTTGTTTTCGTTTTTTTTTTTAATAGGATCTCGGAGTCTCCCGAGTCCCTACGCTTTCCTCCCCACTTCGGTGCAGGCAGGCTGCTCCCAGGCAGCTTTCCTGTAGCATGATGGAAGACGACGGACAGCCCAAGACCCTGTGAGTGGGACGGGGAATGGGTTGACCGCTCGGTAGGTGGGTCAAGAAGCGATGACAGGAGGGGGACCTGTAGGGTTGAATTCTCTAAAGGAGCGTTTGGAGGGTGAGGGGTGAAGAAAGCGGGACCCAGGGTATGGAGGGCAATCGCAGCACGAGAAAGACATATACCTCGCCTTCAGTTTACAGGTTGCAGAGGACTTGGAGGTTCCCCGTCTCCCACAAAATGTCATCAGGACGGATGATAAATTGTGCAGGATGTAAACCCCAGAGTAGACCGGGAGGGTGGGGTGATCTTGGTAACGGGGGAGGTTTGTGGAAAGTTGTTTTTTTTTTTTTAAACGAAATGTGTAGGTCAGTAGCTTAGTATATTCAAATCGCACCGGCCATTGGCGTGCTTGAAACCTAGAAAGCCTTTTCTGTGGGATGGTTAACAGGAGGGCCATTGCCTTTGCCAATTGGTGGGGCTTGTGGCATAGATTTGTAGATTTGGCATTCCCTCTGGCAGCAGAAAAGTTTTGGAAAGTAATCTTACTCGTAATGAGGGACCTCCATAAAGTGGGAAATATATTGCCAGTTAAAGAAAGCTGGGAAAGATCAAAAGAAAATTGATGTATGAGTAGGTATGTCATTTAAAGATTTATAAGGCTGCTTAACTCAGACAGTGTAACTCTGGGCAGTTGCCTACAACAAAAACATTGTACAATCAGCACCTAATAAATAAATACACAAGCTAAAAATATGAAATATGACAATCAAGCACAGACCATAATAAACCTTAGAGGGGAGCTCCCACTCAAATGACCCTAATAAATGCCTGAGGAAGACCCTGGTCTTAAGAGTTTTCTTAAAGGCAAGGAGAGTGGGAGGCCGGCCTGTCCTATACAGATAGTCTTCAACATATGACCACAATGGAGCCCAAAATTGATATTCCTAAGTGAGACATTTGTTAAGGGAGTTTTGCTCCATTTTACAACCTTTCCTGCACCAGTTGTTGAATGAATCACTGTAGAGTTGTTAAGTTAGTAACACGGTTTTTAAGTGAATCTGGCTTCCCCATTGCTTGTTGGAAGGTCACCGTCAGTTGCCAAGTGTCTGAATTTTGATCACATGACCTTGAGTATACTGTACCAGCCGTAAGTGTGAAAAGCAGTCATAAGTCACTTTTAGTGCTTCGAATGGTCACTAAACAAACTCATACATTGAGGACTATTTGTTTTTTTTTGGGGGGGGGGTTGGATCTTTCCAGAGGGCGGGGCAACCACAGAAAAAGCATGCTTTAGGTCCCATAAAGTGACAGTTTAAAAGAAGTAACTCGGAGCATGCCTTCCCTCTGGGAGCACGAGATGGAAAAGGTAATCTTTCAATGTTAGTAAGATAATATTTAATAATGATATATTAAGAAATTGCAAGGTTTGGAACTTAGAAAGTTTGAACAATATAGCAAATAAAAAGAATATAACTTAGAGGCCGATTGCAAAATAAACCACTTTGTAAGTAAAAATTGGAGGGTCTTAGTCAACAAAAATATTAGTATGTAAAAAGCATCCCAGAAGTCAGAACAGAAAAACATGAGAGTAGTGATGCTTAATCACAAGAAAAAAAAATCAAAATCCTGAGGCCATTTTGCAAGGCCTATTGAAGATTTACAACATAATGAAAACTTTTGAATTTTATTGACTTAGATAGAAAGAACTAGAAAAAAGGGAAGTGTGTAATTTATTTGTAGTAATTTTTGTTCTGGGTTACATGCTCAGATGAAACCGTTATGAGCCTCCAGACAAAATCAGATGCAGAACAGCATTAGGTTAAGCTTGAGGAGAAACATGTAAAAATTTGTAACTTTGCTGTTTAAGAAGGTATAGTTTAGCTGTTAGAATTGTTTTATGTTTTATGTGACCTACACAGATTTTTAGCTGATGAGAGACGGAGAAACCTATCTTGATAATATTAACAAAACTGATACAAAATTTATCTGTTACTAAGTTTGTGTTGTTGAACATGAATAAAGAGCACATTTTAGTGGAGTAAAAAAAGTGAAAATTTTAATTTAAGAGTTCTTGCAAGTATATAAAGAGTAAAAAAAAGTGCAGAGAAAAAGAAAAAAATATATTAAAGAAAAGAGACACTTGTAAAGAAATAACTTCCTCATCATTATGACAAGAACAAAAAAATTGAGTAACTTATCACCTTGGAGATTACCATGCTACAAAAGATCTTTTCTTCCCCTAATCTCATCTCTTATCTATAGACTAATTTTAAAGTCTTTCCATTCAGCCCTAATCAGCAAAAGTCTCCTAATTGTTGCCAGAAACAATAACATAGTTTAACCTTGATCTGATAAACTAGCTTCATATTTTTTTCCTTGCTTTTAATAATCTTGATCATTAAGAGATGATCTTGATCATCTCTTTAAATAATGTCCTATAACTTGATTTTTTTTTCATTTTCTCTTTGTGTCTTCTCAAAAATTACTTCAAAACTTTAACATGTCTCTTTTGTAAATCAGAAATAGGAAAGTTATCTAACTAGCTCTTCTGTTTTTTTAAATATCCCTTTTAATTGTTAAGACATTAGCTGGTTTCATTTCTATAGCCAATGTAACATGCAACATAGTGGTCCATGCTGTTAACTCAAATACCAGTTTCAGATGTTTTTTTCTGTTATGATTCAAAATGCAGCTGTTCCACATAGAAAAAGTATTTTGCATATTCCATTCTGTTTTAGCTGCTGTAAATGTTGTCTTGTTTCTTAGACTTGGGATATTTTCAGTTGTTCTAGTGTCAAAGTCAGTATAGAAGGTGGACTAATCATATTCCTATTGCTGCAAAGGGAATAATATGGGAGAGGGATTTGGGGCAAAGCAGTAGGCATTTAAGGAGCTAATGTCACAGGGAACCATTTTGGATGTAGCTACCAATAGAAAAAGAAAAACTGGAATCTTGAAAGCAAATTGGGCTCCTCAGCTGATACTTGATGCTTCTGCAGGGGGTGACTGTTGATAAGTAATAGGTTGTCTACCTGTATCTGAGACAACCTCCATAGCTTATTCCAGTGTAGTTTCAAATTTGATTCACTAGTAGTTGTTGATTTTAGTTAGAAATAGAAAGGCATCTCCCAGCCCTAATTCCTTGCTTGTCAAAACAGACCTCTTTTGAATTAAAAAGAATTTAATATTCCAGAGCATATTATATGATAAACTCCCCCCCCCAACTACTGCTGTTTGGACATTGAATTTTTGGAACAACTTGTCTCCCTTAAAATAATTCTCTGCTTCCCTGATAGACTTTCTCAACCTGTAACTAGGGGATGCTAGACTTCCCAAACCTGTAACTAGAGGATGTCCTTTTATTTCTCTCTCCATACCTTTGGCAGAAACCCACCTAATGGCCAGCGTCTATAAGATATTAAGTAACATTCAGCGCATTCATATATTGCAGAAGTCATAGTGCAACAAGTCCATGGCTCAGTTCCTGAGAGACTACATATGGGCTTATTTCGTCTATGTGCACTTGAATTCCAGTTGGCTTAATTCATCAGTTCTCCAATGGCTTCCCACACCCATCCTCAATCCTACTGACTCAACCTATTTTATGCATGGCCAGTCTTAATGTTCCTGGATCCAGTGTCTGACCCAGCTGTGTCAAATGGTGTACTGGCTGAAAAGTCTTCTGGACTCATCACACACATAGCATGGAGGTGATGTTATGGCCAGCAAGCTATATAGAAAAAAAGACCATATTCATAATATGGTCTTACCTGAGTGAGAATCTGATGTCTTTAATAGAAAAGATTTTGTGGATTTTGTGTTGATGTATTAATGTGTATGGTATTAATAAATTTAAATAAAAATAGATGGAATGCCAGAGGTGTGTGCTTATGCATGTATTTTCACCACTTTACTTAACTTCGCACACAAGTAATGTAACTACAAAAAGTACACATTGCTTTGATTTGTTTAAGGGTATGTAATCAATGCAGTGTATATGCATTTGACTTCTGATAGTGGTGTGATTCAGGATGTTTTAATTTATGCAATGAATGTTTTTATCTTCAAAATCATTCTAAAAACTTCACCATCAATAAGAACATGTAGAAAGTGCACATACCTAAATAAATTCAATAAGTCAATGTTTTTTACCAACAAATTCTATGCTGGTGGCATACTTTTATTGTTGGTTCTTTTATATTTTTGATTGAATGCATTTGAAAAGCAAAGGCTATCTGCTAAGTTGGAAAGTTGAGTTTTTGCATTAGTGTTACAATGTTCATACTCATTGTGCTGCATTGCATTATCTTTTCATGGAGACATGATAGTGCATTTCAGTATTCAAAAATAATTTAGCCAAGCTAACTTAGATGTGTGAACATACTTCAGTCCATGCTGTTAATGCAAGGCATAGTACATTTTGTTGCAAAGGTTTTTTTGAATTCATTGATTTTGACCTATTTGCTTTAATTTTTTTAATCACTTCAAGCATAAAATAAAAGTTGTTTTGCTGAGAAAAATCCATGTCCCATGAAATCTTTTGTTGTGTTGAGTGTTGTAAATATAATGCACTATATATAGACTTATTTATAGAATGTAAATGCTATATGCTGGATATTTTGTGTTTCCCAAAGTGAAGCCCCAAGGAAAAAAATGATAAAGCTTTTTTTAGTAAAATGAAAACAGTCCATGTTCCTGTCAGACTTAGCTTTTGGTATAACAATAGAAATTTGAGGGGGAAGTATATTTAAACTATTTTTTTAAAAAAAACTATCTTTAATGGATTGGAGTTGACTTAGTACTTTTATTCTAATGTGTCCATCTGTCCTGGATCAGTTAATTAATTGAAAGGTTATTTGTTATATGAGAGATCAAAAGCACAGAGTCATCCTCCTCATGCTCCTTTCAGTTAAAATACTCATATTTTTCTGGCAAATGCTGCTCCAGATTTCAAGGAAGATTATGCCTTATTTGAGCTAAAATGTAGATGCTCACTGGTTGATAGCAGAAATTAAAGTAAGCAGATGAGGCTGAATAAATATTCATTAGAGCTGTTTGATTGTGACAATGCATATGAACCACACATTTAAAATACTTATGAAAGCTACATGGCTGTGCATGTACATATATGAAGATGTAGCCAGAGAGCAGTACACAGAATAACCACAAGAGCTTGGAAAAAGGTATGGTTGCTTCAATAATTCATAACAGGCATTTCTTGCGCACTCCTACACATTGCTAAGGAACTGTATTATAGGACTTTCGCAGTCCGAATATTGACCAATCCTATCCTAATTTATGTCCATAAAAGTAGTAGATCACTTTTATTGTAGAATACGTTTTTGTTGTTTTTATAGACTACAGGTTCAAAATACTCTTTGCTATTCAGCAAATTATTCATTTTCTTACTCAGTGAGTTAAAAATTGAAAGTATTTTCTCTCTTATTATAAATGTTTGATATTAATTGCCCAGTTACTCCAATGGACAGCCTACTTTACCCATTGTTTTTTTCTAATACATTGCAGATGCAGAGAGGTTATAATTTGAAAGCTTGAATGCTTTATTATATTTAAGGTAATCTTAACAAAAGCAGGGTATTACAAACTTGCTTTGAAAGTTGATAGATTATTGTGATTGTGTCCCTAATATCCCTCTAGATCAGGGGTGTTCAAAGCCCGCGGGTCAGATCCGGCCCACAGGTGCTTAGATCTGCCTGTGGGGCTGCTCTAGAAACAGCGAAGGACCCACTCACGGTGCCTCTGCCAGCGAAAACAGGCTTCCAGTCTCTATTTTTGGCTGGGACAACCTCCTGTAACCTTCTGCCCATGAAAATGGAGCTCGGGAGGACTGTGTGCACAAGCAAAAGATTTATGTATATTGTCAAAATATATGCACATTTTTTTCCTCGCGGAAGTTTTCAGAAAACTACTCTCTAAATTTTCCCAAATGTAAAGAATGTAATGCATATAAGAATTCTTTCAAAATGACACTGCACATACATTTATTTTTCGTCTACTAAAAAGCTTGTACAAAATAACCTCTTTTTTTTTAATTTTAAAGGGTAATGGTTTGTATTCTTTGAAGATTTTTTTCTTTAAAAAGTATAAAATGCACCCTTTTTTTGTTCCTAGATGCCTTCCCTGCTTTTTTCAACTTGTAAAGATTTATACAACTAAAGGCAATATGCCATAGATCATATTGGTAGCATTAATTTGCCTAAAAATAGCAAATAAATACTGTAATTGTTCCTTTACATAAGTTATCAGAATATTGAGGGAAATGATCCTGTTTAATGGTGCATCTGGAAAGTATTTCCAAACAGTGATGGGATCAGAATTTAATAATTCTCCCCTTCTGTGTCATTAAAATTTGACAAATGGGAGAAACTTTGATATAAGGGTCAGTATGGTATAGCGAAGATATCAGGATTGAAAGTAGAAGACCATGAATTCTTGACCTACCATAGGCACATAGTCAGCTGGGTGACCTTGGGCTAGTCACTCTCTGTGAGTTCCAGAAGCAGGTAATGGCAAACCATTTCTGAAATCTTGCCAAGGAAATTGCAAGGACTTGTCCAGGCAAGCAGTAACCAACATTGACACACACAAAAGAAACCTTTATGGAGACTTTGGGACTATATCCAAGACACAGATATACATTGGGCATTCTTGTTTTACACCTTAATTAGTTAACTGCAGTAGCAGTTTTTTAGTGGCAGTATTTAGTGTTTGGTAAATTATAATGAATGTTATTAACAATGTTTTTAATATATAAGTATTATGGAATATTTATAAAATTGATTTTTTTATACTTGCAGAATATTTTGGCAAGACATAAATTAATAGCATTAATATTAGCTTTTCTTTTCTAAATCTAGCTATGTAGGAAATCTTTCCAGAGATGTGACCGAAGTCCTTATACTTCAATTATTCAGCCAAATTGGACCTTGCAAAAGCTGTAAAATGATAACAGAGGTAATATGTTCTCACAATCTAATGTATATGAAATATCTTAACATTTCACATAAAAGTTGTTACTAATTCTGCTTTTTTAAAAAGATCAAGATTGCAGCATGAAATAAGACAGTTTAATTAAGGAGGACTCCTATGAAAGCATTGATTAGGATTATAGTCTTAGTTAATTGATTTAACTGACAAATTTTGATCATCTAGAAAAAGGTTCTTGTATATCTTAAAATATATGCTTATTGACTCTTCTCGGCCTACCAGAAAGATTGCTCCTGTCTATAGTAATGTTTTGTTTACCTACAACTATACTCTTGAATGAAGGCTGGAATGAATACTCTGTACAAGATAGTTCAGACTATATACATTATTTAAAGATTACTTTGATTGCAGCTTTATAATGGAAAAAACTATGTTTTTTATCTATTTGAATAATTTATATTTCATGAATAGTTTCATATGAATATCAGAATAAAACATGTTTTATTAAGATTTAGCCTTGCTCTTTTGCAGTCCCATGGATGACCAAAATATTTCCTTTTAGAGAGGATGGAACTTCAGAAACAGAAAACCAATATTGTGTATTAAACTATTGAAATTGATCTGACTGTTGGATTCATTTAGAGATTTTTAACAAGTTGTATCTTTCATTATTAAAAAAGAAAACTTTATTTTGATGTTACTGAAAAACTAGAATATGAATTTTGAAGTCCTCTGCATAAATATCTATCTAAATGATAGAAATTAGTATTTTCAATAGAAAAAAAATTACAATCTGCCTTTTTTCTTTTCATTTTTATTAAATAGAGATTTTGTGGGAATATGTGGCCATTTGAAATTAGGTTCTTTTTAAGTGCTAAGAAATTAGGACTATAAAACCTGGAATGTTCCTCCTATTTTATTTTAATATCTCCAGGGAAGGGATCTATTGGAAGTACTGGAACTTTTCTTAATCCTGAAGGTTTATTTCTAAATGGATTGAAATTACAACAGACACACTCCAATACTGGAATTTGAAATTTTGAAAATAATCATCTTTATCAACCTTCACTAGTTTATAGCCATTGGCTGGTTCTCATACCAATTGAAATCATAATGTTCATTTTTAGCTAATGTAATGTCTTAAATTTTATCATAGTTGACTCAATATCCATAACAACCTGTTTTGTGCACACGGTATATCAAAGGAAATATATTTCTTAATTCCTAATTCATATTTTGATTTTTTTTAATGGCAGTTTCAAGGGGCTACTTATATAGTATCAGTAAAACAAAATGGCACAATAGATAGTTCATTAGAAATTTAGATCAAAATACTTTTGTTGGTACATGAATTGTGTTGTTTCCCAGATTAGTGAAAATTGTTCTGTGTAACATTTCTCTGGAGGTAGGGCATATACATTGTAACATGGATTTTTGTTTTTTTAAATACTAAAGATTTAGTCTTTTATTTATTTCTTAGCAACCACCCATAGGTAACTGGTAACATTTATTTTGCATTTTATTATTTATTTATTAAATGTAATATATCTACATATATTACCTGATTTATTAAAATATGAAACTAAAAATCAAATGATTTTAAATGATTTACTGCATTTTGCTGTAATTTTCTAACCCACATTCTTGCTTTTAATGCCTTTTGAAATCTGAAACGATCATATACATCCTCCCAAAACTTTGAAATTGGTAAGTACTTGGAGCTGAAATGTTTGCAAAGGAAATAGCTCCAGTTATCATCAAGCCCCTTTTTCCTTCCAAACTTACAAATTTTATTTGTAAAATTTACAGGAAGGAATGAACCATTTTAGAAGCATACATATGTATAACCTAACATAGTAGATGTAATCTTATCCCAAGTGTCTTCTGGATCCAGTTCGATAGAAGCTGGCAGCATTCTTTTTGACAAGTACAGAGGCTAATTTTGTTGATAATTAATTCCAATTTAGGACCACAAGCTGCAGTTAAAACTTATTGATTCTAAGTGTATAATCCGTCTAAACAGTGTGATGAATTTTCAAAAAAGGCTTTTCTAAATGAAACCTGCACTTTCTTACATGATGGCCTCTAGATGTATTTTTGTGGATGCTATAATTTGAGATATTCTTTTGACAGAATAGACAACAATTCTTACAGCTACTTTGTAAGCACTTATGGTAATATTTTCTTTTCTAGCTTTAAGTAATATATTTTCCTGGATTTTCTTCTCAGCAACCCGATAGCAGAAGAGTCAACTCTTCTGTTGGATTTTCTGTTTTGCAGCATACAAGCAATGACCCTTATTGCTTTGTGGAATTTTATGAACACAGGGATGCAGCTGCTGCATTAGCTGCTATGAATGGGAGAAAAATTTTGGGAAAGGTACGTTGCAAAAGAAAAAAGAATGACATGTAGCAAATTAAGTAAATAGGTTATGATTCATGGCAAGGATTTTTTGTCCCGGTTTTTAATTAGAAATACCTTGAAACAATGTTTCTATAAAAAGAAACATTTGTTTTGTTGGAATTGAGCCTGTACAGCCTCTTCATTTACATAAAAATTATGCCAGTACTGATATTTTTTTCATTATTTTTAGGAAGTAAAAGTTAACTGGGCAACAACACCAAGTAGCCAAAAAAAAGATACTTCAAGTAAGTAATATGTTCTGAAACAACACTACCTAAGCCATGTATTCAGTTGGATTGTATTCATTGCTTTACTTTGGCAGTATAAGAAAGCTAAACTTTTTGGATATAGTAGCATTTCTGTTCTTTCCTTCCAGATCATTTTCATGTGTTTGTGGGAGATTTAAGTCCAGAAATAACAACAGAAGATATTAAGTCAGCATTTGCTCCTTTTGGTAAAATATCGTAAGTACTGTACTTTTTATTTTAAATCATTAATATATACAGAATTAAAACACAAGATTGTTCTTCTTTTAAGTCACTGTTGTTTGTTAGGCATAGAATTGTTTACATAATGGCACGTGAATTGTGTAGAATTATCTTGTCCTTTTATTGCATTATATTATTCCACACAAGTATGAACAAGGTTTCTGCATTAGTTCTGTTAAAAGCTGTGTGGTTTTCACATTTGCAAATCCATATGCATTTTTCTGGGTTGGGGTATGTTGTGGGCAAATGAAAGCAAACCTGTTGATTCTCGTGGCTTATAGAACATTGTCTAATAGAAGCTGGAAGTGTCTGATAATTATATACAATAGGTAGTGTTGGACTCTGTGTAAGTTCATAGCCAGTTGTAAAACTTCATTCAGTGCATTTTTGAAATGTAGCACTACATTTAGGATTTGAAAATTTGAAAATTAAAATTCGTATCTTTTGATAAACTTTTAAGTAAAGAAGTTTTGTTTTAAGGATACATTGATTATGCCAGTCAAAAGTATCTTTCTCTGTTGATAGTAGAACTTTGGGACTAAATTTCCAAATATCTATAGCTTTGTAAATGAACATTTTAAACTTTGCAAGTGTTCCTTCAAGTGCTATAGTATGTCTTTTTCTTTTATTATTTAATCTAATTTCTTGAAAAACTTTCTCCTATTGTTTTCTTTGTCTTTTGAACAACATCAGAACAAAACCTGAACATCTTGTATTACTTTACAGGAATATATTTCTGCTATAAAGCATATTTTCTCTATGTTTTCTCATATTTTCAAATGCAACAAAATCTTATTTTGTCTGTTTGATTTACTTTGCTTTTTATCTCAATGTGGTAAGTACTGGTACTGTTTGCAAGCCAATATTAAAAGATTTAATACAGGTTGCTATTTCTCAGTTTTGATTTATACCTGAGACCTGCAGTTTTTCTAAAGTCCAAGTCACAATTAAAAGTAATAGCATTCTGATTATTTTGCAGAATTGCTCATAAGAATGGACAGGATCTTGAAGCTAACTGCAAGGAACTGTGCACACTGGAACTCAGTTGTAGATTTTTTTTCTCATTTCTATTTATTCTTATTATACATTATTTATATATACATATCTTAGTATTTACATTTTAACATTCTATATTCAGTGCAGTTCTATATTTCCAATCATTTTAACTTACTCACTAAAAATTATGTGTAAAATTTGTTGTCTTCATATTGGTGAACTTAGCATTGTTGTTAGTTATATTCGCCTTTCTTAAATTTCTGAAAATGTCAATTTTTCAAAATTTACAGCTGCCCAAACTCCAAAATGATGGTAGAGAATTGACCAAGAAAAATAAAGAAATCTGTTAACAGGCCATGTATGCCTTTTAATTCCTATTTTTTTCCTCTTTTTCAATTTTTTAATATTTCATATTTTATATCACTAGGCAGAGGGCATTTATTTAGAAAATGCATGGTAAACATAGTTAGAAATGTTACAGTAATTTATAGTTCAGTAAACCTTAGAAGACCCTAGTCAATAGATAATTAGAAAAGGAAATACTGTTCCTTTTAAAATTTCAAATTTGAACGATTTAGTTGTAGAAAGTGCAGGATATATTGATAGGTTGCATGTTTATTACATGTTATTTTTTATTTTTGTCCTACTGCTTTTTTCTAACAGGAAAATAAGTATTAGGCAGAATTAGGAATAGTTATAGTTAGGGGTTACTGAGTTTATAATAGGGAAAACTATGCTCACAATACAGTGTGTGTGGTTCCTTTTAGTTTTTATTTTGAATATCTATAATATTTCCTCATATAACTGTGCTTCTCTTCCCAGGGATGCACGGGTAGTTAAAGATATGACAACAGGAAAATCAAAAGGATATGGTTTTGTATCATTTTATAACAAATTGGTGAGTTTGTTGAACAATATAAATGATTGCTTCATATTTTGTGAGCCTAATTTATGAAGGATGCAATGCAAGCAGGCAGACATTTGTGGCATGCTAGTGCATAGCCCACTTTTACAACCCGTTGGTTATGTCATGTGAAAGGCAGAACTTTTTATAGCTGAAGTAATGTTATATTGATCCTTTAGACAAGAGACAAAAATATGCCTATTTTTAACTTTACTAGTAATAAGAGTACAGATATCTTTTGCTGGGCAGTTATTTCTTATGGAAATAAGGAGAGCTGTATTGGGATATACATGGTACATTGTCAGTCTCTGCCTAAAAGTGTCTTAAATGTATTGAGTTCTCCAAACGGGAGATGGAATATTTGTGGCCTTCCATTTGTTTGAACTAGAATTCTCAGCAGCCCAACCATTACGGCCAATAGTAAGAACTATTGGAAACTCAAATTCAGCAGCATCTGGAAGCCACAGGGCCTATTGTCTTCGTTCAGCGTATTAATTTCCTTACATTATTTTTTCTGAAAAGCTGTTAGCACCTTAATTGGTCAATTTTATTTTTTCTGTCCAAAAGACAAAGCAACAAAATAGAATGTATGTTTTAATTCTCTTCTTTCAAAGTTATTAGTTTTTGTCTGTGGTTTTTTTTTTTTTTTAAATTAGGATGCAGAAAATGCAATTGTGCATATGGGAGGCCAGTGGTTAGGAGGTCGTCAGATCAGAACTAACTGGGCAACACGAAAGCCACCTGCTCCTAAAACTACACAAGAAAGTAAGTGAATTTGGACAAGAATGAAATTCCATTTTTAATTATATTAACAGAGTGATTTCTAATAGATTACCTGTCTATATAAATATCTGACAGCAATATTGAATAGGGATATTTAATATTTTACATTTCTTCTTGATATTACAAATGTATGTATAGTTCCATAGATAGTTTTGGTAATATTTGCTTTTGTGCATATATTGTTTCATTGTTTATATGCTTTTCCATTTCGTTATTGTGAGTTTGGACAGTAACCAGAAATTTTAACTTGGAAACAAAATTGCAACAGTTGTCACTATATCATGCGGTTGAGATCCAAATAAATATTTTCATTTGCAATTAACAAGAAACAAAAATAACCAGTCAATAGGACTCACTCCAGTCCAAACACTTGAGGAACAACCAGGTGCTTCCCTTAGCTCCATGCTTTACAAAAGGCCATCGAGATATCTGTATGTTGGTGGGGAATGTGTCTGGATGCCCTTGCACAGGTAGATCCACAAAATGGCAATATAATTAAAAGGATCCCAAGGATCCCACACCCTGTTGATTTTGACAGGCATGGAGAAACAAAAACAAGTGGTTCAAGCAATAATCTGGCTCTAATCCCTCCAGGTAATAACCAGCATCTTGAATTGCAACCAGAAGTTAGCATCAGTAGGACCTCCTAAATCAGCAATGGTCAAAATTGGTGAACAAGATAAACCTGTGCAAAGACTATACCATTCTTTGCTCCTACCTGCTTCTTAAGAAGATATCTGTATCAGGTTTCCAAGTAATGAAATCCATGTTAAAAGAAAAATAACAAAGCTCATCTTCAAAAAGATTTATTTAGGAAAACATCAAATTGGCAAAGTCCATGGTAATTCCGGATCTGACCCAGCCTGGAATTACCACACAATATTAGAAGTTAGAAACACCCCCCAAAAGTCACATTCTCCAATAGAAGTAATACAACGTTGCTTGATGACATAAATTTCCACCTCCAGGGCCCCAAGCCTGGACAGTTCATTTGCCACTGGGAAAAAAGATACCCTAGCCATATCTCCACTCCTCCCACCTTAGGAATGTGTCAAGCCCGTAAATTTTTCCCCCATGACTACCACAGGGAAAATAAGAAAAAAAATATACTAAGACAATCTAAAATGGCTACACTTATGACAATTTTGGGCTTGACACTCTGAGTTGCACTCCAACTTTGGGGAATGCAACCCCATTCAGAGTTAAAGGTGAAAAGTATACTGATCTGACAGGCTTCAAAATTTCAGCCATTTTTTTTTGCCAGGGTTAAGCCAATCCATACTCCCCCCACCCTTCAAATACCTAGAGATAACTTTGATATTATCACTTGGTTAATCTTGGACATATTGGTTATTATAAGCATACTAATGATACTTACTAAATGCTAATAGGTGACCTCATCCACCAGCTTCATGTACCTGTATATGTCAGCTAGGAGCAAGTGGTATCATGCAAAATAGAAATATTGGTTGATCTCTCTGCCCCCTTCCTGACTCATATGCACAATGTTGGAACCAGTTATGGAGAAATGGAACCATTATAACTCCACGCATTCTACTCTAAATCCTGGGGCTGTTCAGAAATGTACTGAGAGATCAAGGAAGGCCAGAATGGATCTACTGTCTCTAGCCTAGTATTGCCAAACTCATCAACAAATGTGATCAGTGCTATGTGGCTGCTATAACCAGATTTGAACCCTAGCTAAAAAGGTCCAAATAATCCATTTCTTCCTTATCTCTCTGAATCACAAGCTGGTCATCTTTTCAGTAACCTTCCCTAAAGAAGGAAAGGTGGAGGCTGTATAAAAAAATTATCCAGTTCCATTGGGTCTAGTGGTATCTTCTTGAGAGAATGCACACCTTCTTTCACAATAGGTATAAACCATTCTTGCATTAACTATTGCTCGGACTCAACTGTCTCACTTTCTGGAGGTCTTGATCACGTAGATTAGTTATGAATAAAAATATAGATAGGCCTAGCTTACAGCTTTGAGGACCTAGACCATTTCATTAGCATTAAGAGATTCAAACTATTCTCAGATAACTAGGCAAGACCATCCTCAAGCAGTTCTATAGACCTCTATAGCTAGAGGCTAAGCAAAACCAAGCAAACAACCAATCTGGCAGGTGCCTAGAATAATTTTCATAGTGATCTGTAAATATTCCCACTGTTCTTCCTTAACCAAAAGGAAGTGGCTCACCTTAAATACTGCTGTCAGTTAGCCCTTCATCTACATGACAAGGGCACTTGCCTGCTCAGTATTTTGCCACTTTTATTGCCATGAGATAATGCTTAAGAAACGTTCTTGCTCAGCGAAGTTTTGATTTTGTTCCTTATATCATCTTTAAACATTTTCAGTGTTTCATTAATAATTATATTAAAAATGATATTACTTATGAAGATTGAATAAACTATTACTTATAAAGATTGAATAAACTACCAAATAATGATTTAATTACTTGAAAAGTGTTGAATTTAGGGTCTTTCTAGTTTACAATTATAGTAGGCTGTGATATTGTGACATATTGTATGTTCATTAATGGTAGTAACAGGAAAAAATGTATCTTGCAGACAACACAAAACAATTGAGATTTGAGGATGTAGTAAATCAGTCAAGCCCCAAAAACTGTACTGTCTATTGTGGAGGAATTGCTTCTGGATTAACAGGTGAGAGTCACAATCATCTTTGCAAAGTTTTTAGTGAACTACTGAATACTGACATGACTAACACAAATGTTAATGTTTTTAGATCAGTTGATGAGACAGACATTCTCCCCTTTTGGGCAGATTGTGGAAACCAGAGCTTTTCCAGTTAAAGGCTATTCTTTTGTGAGGTAGGAGAACTATAATTATTTGCTCTGAACTTAATATTGGCAACAAGCAAACATACAACTATATTTTAGCTATTACAGTACATCTGAATTACTTACACTGTATTTCTGTTTTGTAATCCTTGATTTATTACCATAATTGGCACCAGGATGTTGGTTGCTGAATGAAGCAGATATTAAGATGTCATGTGACCACTTCATTCAACTACCACAATCCCAGGTCCTCTGGTTGCAGTGGTTAAATAACCTTGTGGGTTGTTAAGCAGGCATAGTCCAAAATAAGGAGCACAGGGATTAATTAGAGGAATAGGGGAGGTTTCACATGATTTGGGGAATGACACTTTTTAATCACTGTGACTATGGAGCCTGCTTGAACAGTGGCATGAGGAGACCACAGGAGAGTCACATAGTTTTTCAGGATAGTTTTTCTCCAGTATCTTCAGGCTTAAGAGGGATTCTTGCATGTGTTAGTGGAGTAGGAAGTAGGCTGAAGCCTCCTGGACCTAGTGAGCAAAGGAGCAGGCTAAGACTCCTGGGCCTGGTTAGCCAGGGACCAGGTTGAGATCCTATAGGCCATGGCAGTTTGATATGGGAGGATACACAGCCAGACAAGGGCATTTGCAGCACCCCTATGGTCATAAATGTGCACGGACTGTCAAGCGCCTTAATTTTCAGCATGTAACCATAAGGGTGTCACAACAGCTTATGTTGCAAATCCCTTTGTTTTCGACTCTTGTAATTTCAAACAATCACTGAACAAATGATGTAAGTCAAGGACTACCTGCAACATCAATAATAGGTTTCTTGGTGTTGGGGTGGTGGTGGGGTGTCACGTTCTCTGTTCCATTAAGTTTGTATCTTTGTAGGGCATAACCTTAAGACCAGGAATTGTCCCATTTTGTTCATCTGTAAACCATATTTTTGTAAAATATTTACAAAAGGAAATACAGGATATATCCAATATTATATATGTTTTAAAAATGGAGCCTTAAATATTATGGAATTATATTAAGTTGTCAAAGGCAATGGCATACCTAATTATTTTTTAAGAATTTAAATGCATTGGTCCTTAAAGACTGAAGCCAATCTCTCTGGATGATTACCGGCAGGTAACCACATACACTGAAGCAATAACTCCTTCACTGTTGAAATATACTTGGTATATTCTTTAAGAAAAGATATGTTGCTGTTAAGTTCCATATTGATGGTACGTATATCAGGTTTAGTGATAAACAATTGGCTGATAGCCTTTTAACTGTACTATATCTTCTGAAAAAGTAAACTATTGATAAATGAACTATTCTTGTTAAACTAGTCCTACAAGGTTAGAGGAGGATAATATAATAACATTTTATTTCATACCACTTTTTTGGGCTTCAGGTTTTCAACTCATGAAAGTGCAGCACATGCGATTGTTTCAGTCAATGGAACTACAATTGAAGGACATGTTGTTAAATGCTACTGGGGCAAAGAAACACCAGATACAACAAAAGAATTCCAGCAGGTAATTGGTAGACTAGCATTAAAGTGTTGTATTTTCTATATCCTCTGTTATGTGCATTTGTCCAAATCAGTAAAATCAGTGCATGTAATCTTACACATTAAAATCCTTTATGGAAATTAACCTTAGACATAGAACTTACTACTTTTGGCTTTTTCTCAATTTTTCTCATATTAATTAATATTCTACCTTTTTGTTTATCTAAACAATTGTTTAAATCCATAGGTGGAGTACAGTCAGTGGGGACAGTGGAGTCACGTTTATGGGAATCCACAGCAATATGGGCAGTATATGACAAATGGATGGCAAGTGCCATCTTATGGAATGTACGGTCAAGCATGGAATCAGCAAGGGTTTGGCGTTGAGTAAGTACTTCTGCTCAGAAATTGATGCTTGCATATATCATTTTCTGGGATGGGAACTCTTGATATTCGCTTGTGCATGATTAAGTCAAATGTTTTTGTTTCTAAAGTAGTGGTTTGTTATTTTTTTGTTTTTAAAAATAATAGAAAAAAGCAAAAGAAACAAAACACAATATACATTATAAAAAGTTCATAATAAATGCTTAAAATAAGTGAAAAATACAACTAATAAGAAATAGAGTATAATACGTTCTTAGAACAATAAACAGTTATAATTCTATATAATTATCTTAATACATTCATATACAGAGAGAGTCCTTTATGCATCTCATGCTTTTTTTAAGGTAGTGTAATTTGTATAAATCAGTTTCTTTATATATGTGTATATATTCATACAGTCTACATCTATAGGCAATCCACTCACAGGTAGCAAATATAATCAGATCTTCAATCTACTTAGTATGTGGATTTATGTTTCCAAGATGCAATATCAGTCTTTTAACTATATAATAAGGACACAGAGAATCCATTTATGTTATCCAATTGTCAAATTTCGTGTTCTAAGTATGTAAGTCAAGAGGACAACCCCTGAAAATTTTAGCTTTTGTTACCTTCACATTTATTTAGTCCACTGCTTTCCCCCAACTTTTAATAAATAAAAAACTGTAAAAAATTAAATTTTACATTATAAAAACATGTATTTAAAGAAGCTTTGCTCTTATTACATTTCCAACAAAATACAGTCCTAACAATCCTTTTCTAGATAAATGCAATAGATAAAATTTAAATATTACTTTTTGTTGTATAAATTGTAGGTTAAGGTCCTCTGCTACTCTAGATAAAGAACTTAAGACAATATTGTCTAGGCAATATAGGAACCTCTAATTCTTTATTCAACTCATCTCTTACTATTTTCATGTCAAATTGATTTATTGATAGCAAATATCTGAATAAGTAATAATAGGATTTTTAGTTTTAAAAGATTCAACCAGTTGTTCTAGTATTTTGTGTGTCTCAAAAGTTGAAAATCCTGCTGATCCAAACAGTGTTGTTAACAATATAGCTATATTATCACTGAGTTATATCTGATAGAGATTTATAAAGATTTATAGCACAGTGTATTTATAGAGATTTATAGCACAGTATATATTAAATTAAATATTAAAATTCATTTATCATGTTTCTAAAATAATGTGCTAATTTTCATCTAAGTATGAATTTCTGGAGGGAGACTGATTAATTATAATACTATGTGAGTGAACCTCAATAAAACATAGATTTGCACAAGCAAAATCATATGCAGCTATAATTTAAACAAAATGAGTTGCACTAACTTAATACACACAATATATTTTTGAATAAGTTCAATGAGTTCTGTTCTATTCAATTGATTAAAAGATGAAAATGCAGATCAGGACCACTTAGAGCAGAGGTGTCAAACTTGCATCATCACGGCAGCATCACATGATGTATCACAACTTTTTTCCCCTTCACTAAACCGGGCTTCGCCAAAGCGTGACGCATCTGTCCCGCAGGCTGCGAGTTTGATAGTCCTGGCTTAGAGTATCTGATTGCCAAAGCTTAATGTGGCTGTTAATAATTTGAATTTTCATAACTAAATTTGTAATAATGAAGTAAATACTTTTGAGTTGCAATTCATCCCATTCTATCTTGAATTAAATCCAAATCTATATGTTATCCAGTATACTAGTCTACCTTTCAATTGCTATTCTGAATAAATTGTTTACCAAAGACACAGAAAAATTTCTGCTAATTCGTTTGTTTTGCAAGATAGTTCTGGACAATGCTGTATATATTCATTAATACAAGTAATATTTCTGTCATGATTAAAGGATTGCAAGAGGTTAATTTTCATCATGTAGCAATGGGTATTATTATGGTTAAATTTGAAACAGATAAGAATAATTACAATTTTCTTTTCGTCTTAAACCAGTCAAACACCACCTGCAACCTGGATGAGTGGATTTGCTGCTCAGCCTGCCCAGGGACAAGCTGCTCCGGTAATACCTAATCAGGCTGGCTATGGTATGGCAAGTTACCAAACACAGTGAGCTAGAACTCTGCTTAGAAGTGTGATTTCAAGGCAGGTTTCATTTTCCGATGATTTTTTCTAAAGCCTGAAATACAGACACTGGGGAGAAGAGGGAAAGGAGGCAAAACGGGAGGGGGCCGAGACAGAGAAAGAAACAAAGAATATTTATTTTGAAGAATGAAAATGTTTGGACCTTTAACACAGCATTTGCTTTGATGAAGGACACAAATATCTTCAATGTATGCCTTTTTAAGTTTTGTTCATGATGGGTATGAACAGGTTTTCTTTATGTACAAAATTTAAAATAAAGTCATTAAAAACAATTCTGACTGCACAATTTGGTATGTTGGGAAGGAATGCTTAACATTGTGGTTCTTAGATCCATTCCATTTTCTTTTGTCTGCAGCATTTTATATCAGGTTTTGAAAAAAAATATACATTAAAGATTCTTTTAATTGAACATTAAATCCTGATGTTTTTCTGTGGACCAAAGATCAAAGGCAACAATATATTCTTCATTAATTTCAGAGCCATCATTCAGAAGAAATATTCATGGAAATATTTTTAAATTAATTTCCAAAATATTTGAAGAAACTTAAATCTGGTGTACACATTTTGGTTTGGTCTGATGTAGTACTAGCAGATATTTCTGTTCACATCCAGAAGCAAACTACAGCTTTTCAAATTTAATTTACTTGAAGCACAGATTTGCTTTTACTTTAGAGGTGCCTTTTTAATTTTGTTTTTTAAGCATCATATTTTCCCCTTTATATTAATATCTGCAATATTTAGTATGCTCTGAAATTGAAGGAACAATTTTATACAGAAAGTTATTTTATTCTGCTGCTTTTTTTTTTTGCAGAGGAGTAAAATAAATACACTTTCAAAACTAGCTACTACATAAAGTGGAAAAAAATATTAAGCCTTATTTTTAATTTGATAAATGACTCCTTTTGTCACCAGAAAACAGATTTTTTACTTTATGCTACTTACTATGAAAATAATGAGGCTACTCTTGTACCTGAATGTTTTAAAAATGACACTGTTTTTTTAAATGTAGGAATATTTAACCAAAATATTTTAATTAGATTGAGGAATTTTTTAAAGTAAGGCATTTTAATAATGTCATATATGTTTAACAGAACTGTATTTGAAATAATGAACAATTTTAAGTATGAATTAAGTGTATTTGTTTTTTAATTATTTGGGCTTGCATTTCACAAATTTGTATTGAAGCTAGGTTATTTATAGATTAAATATTATTGGGATAAATAATGAAGTTGGTAAAATGTTACATAGGGTTACTTTTTACTTTGTGGATACACTGACAACATACATTTTAAGTTGAAAGTGAATGCATGATAGGTTACACAATAATCTCTGACAGCTAGGTGGTGCAAATGACTCATCTTTGAATTTGAACACTTGAGATGAACAATATGTGCCATTAATAGAAAGAGACTTGCATCTTGGTGGACTCTAGGCCAAAATATGTATGAGTATATATGTTTGGTTGGTTTCTGAATAGAAAAGTGTTGTTTAATAGATCACTATTAAATATGTACTACATTACAGACCTAGTAGATATTGAAAAAAATGTTTATTCCAAAAGGGAGAAAAGTTGATTACACTAATATCTCTTTTTTTTTTTTGAATAATTGATCATAGAGTTATACCACAAATATTTTTGCTATATGCAATTTATTGATCTATACTTTGATTATTTTTAGGAATTCTGAATTTCTATATTTGTTTGAGGTTAGGAAGATTAAAATAGTATTCACAGACATCTACTAAGTCTGCAATTTTTAACCAAACAATTTTTGTTGGTATACATTACAGTGTTAACAATGTTTATTTTCAGATTGTGGACAAACTGATTTTTTCCAGGTTGGTTAGTTTCCCAATGGAATAAAATTGAATATGGCTTGAGTGTTCCGCATAAAACATAACTCATTAACAGTTTGATTTCTATATCATATGGGAACACTGGAAGCCTGGAACAAGATGAGCCTCATTTTTCAGACCTCCATCCTGACCTGTTCCGCAGCATGTAGCAAAGTTGGTCAAAGAGTATTTTTTAAAGAAGGATTTAAATAAATCAACAATTTAAGATATGTTTTTTTCATTCTGTCGAATTTAGCAAGAGGTAAAGTCCAGAGCACAATCGGACAAGGCTATAGACAAAGCACAGCAATTATTTTTGGAAAGCAGAGTTTATGGCTGTATCACCAGAGCTCACATGTGCATTTAATTATTGAAACTAAATGTTATATTTAATTTCAGTTGAGTTTAATTTTATTCACGGAGGAATCATAATTCATTTATTTTACAAGGTCATTGCATCTCAGATTTCAAAAATGTTTGACCCAAATATTAAAAAATAACATTTCTTTCAAATTTACTTTGACTCCTATTAGAGTCATGAGAACAGCCATGTAGTTTTCTTGGCAACATTATGAAGTGATTTGCCAGTTCTTTTTTCCAGGGTTTTTTAAATACTTCTTTATCTAGCCTACATTTCACAGTTGTCCTGATGGATTCCCATCTAAGTACCAACAAGGTCCATCTTTTCAAGAACAACCAAGTTCAGCTTTATTCTGTCAAAACAGCAACAAAAATAACAAAGCACAGGACATACTAACATTTTTTTTCATAGCAGTTTTTTTTAAAGTTATAAATGCACCTATCAGGTAAGAGAGTAGCCAAACTTACATGGACAACAAATACACAGTGAGTGGCCTATCTTTTTAGGTATCCCAAGAGCCATTATTTGTCATCCCAAATGCCAAAGCAAAAGTGGCTCAGCTATTGCCTGAATCTTTGCCTATTGACTCCCAGAAATGAGTCAGTCTAAACTTTTTCTGGTCCTCAGTATATGAAAGGCATCATTAAATTTGGAATCTGGTTTAGACACAATTAAGTTTCTAGTTAGGATTTATTAATTGCCAAAACCAAATTGATTTTTCCAATCTCTCTGATAGATATGTACCAGCAGATAATTTTACATTGATATGATATGATTTTTTTTCATTTTGTTTGAGGAAAACACCATAATACTCTGTTTATTAAACATGTGTCAATGAAGAATGGGTATGGGTAATGATGAAATAATAGTGTGTTTTCCTTCAATCCTACTGTAGAAGTCTTTGATTCACTTTTATCTCTTTGTTAGTAAAAATACATTTGGCAAATTGTATGTGTATATTATCTGATCAAAATTCAGTAATCTCTGATAGAGTTGCATAATAAACTAAACCTTCCTTCAGTTATTGAAACTCACTGAGTGACTTTGGCCAGTCTTTCTCAACCCAACTGACCTCACAAGATAATTGTTGGGAGAAATTGGAGGAGGAAATACTAAGCACACCTAAGATCCTGATAACAGATGGAATATGAATCAAATAAATGAATAAATATATGTTACAGTGTATACATACAAGCTTCTATAGCTACTTATTAGGGTACTAGGAACAGTTTTCTCAGTAACTATGTTTAAAATCAGCCATCCAGTATTGTTTCTATATGTTTCCGATTCAAATGAAACATTTGTGACATGTTCAGCAACAATAGCTTATATTTCTAAGTATATAACTACTGTTTTTTCCCGTCCCTCTTGTCACCTCACATCTCAGCCAATGGCAACAGAAATACAACTGGTCCTTGTGACTTCATGGCTCTTCTACATAAAAATGTTAAAAAGGGAAGTCAGTCATAGGATTCAAACCTTATTGAACATTTATGTATTGGTTTTTGTTAAATTTATTTGCTCCCTATCTCACTGTGGGGCTAAGAAACAGAAGTGTCACTATTTTGTGTTTCAGTGTGGAATGAAACCAGTATGCTTTATTCAGAGGTCAAGACAAAGTTTTAAACAAGCGAATGTTGTCAACTTGAAAAACACAGTTTGTGTTGAAGCTTAACATGGTTTACATATCTCTAGCAGTTGTTTTGAAAAACTTGAAAATATTTGGCTTTTATTTTTCAAATTGAATATAACAATAAACCAAAAATATTTATTTTAATAGACATATGGTTCCACCCTGACTCTGAGAGGCATATAATGTAAGAAGTGTTCCATTAAACATTTTTCCTGACTATTTTAGCATGACATTATTATTATTTTTTGAACAAGTTTGAATCACTTTTTCACATGAATTACAAAACAAAAAAGCTCTTTTCAGTGAAAAACATATTTCCAGATCACCACTTTTACATGCAAATATGACAATAGTTATATATTCATTTTTTACATTCAACTTCCTATCTTATCCAATTTTTATTTAATTCTATTATTACCTTTTCCATTCCAACTTTTACAGAAGAAAAGAACAAACAAATTAATCCTGGTCTCTAATATTGGTCCCAATCTAAGCATCCTCTCATTTCAATTATTTCAAATATAAACATTAATATTTCTTTTAAAAATAAAAATAACAATATGCATTTGTCTAATAAAAATTATCAATGTCCCTCCTTCCTCTTAATAATCTATATTACCTTATTAACTGACTAATTTATAATTACAAATATTTTTATTGTTACCTTTTCCAAAATACTCTTCTCATTTAAATAGTTCTTTTATCTGTCAGATTTGCAATTTCATCGCATATTCTTTCCATAAGTTCTAAATTAATACAAGATTTTACACAAGAGAAAAAAAACAAGTTTCCCCCCTCCCTTTTCCTAATTTGAGTGTGTCAACTCAGTGGTTAAAATATACCCTAATTCCCTCATCTTAATTCCCAATAAACATTTATTTTTAACTGATTATAATAATAGTCATTCCCTAAAAAACCTACATAACATTATATATCTTTTCAATCAGATTCCTTTAGTTTCATAGAATTTATAGTTTCAAAACAAAGATAAGAAAAAAAACAATTAGTCCATTTAACTAATCCTGGGTCACTGATATTAATCTCATTTTTAAACATCTTCACAGTTCATTTCAATTATTTCAATTTATTTAATAAACATTAACATTTCTTTTAAAGATAAGAATAAAAATATACATTCACCTAGTAAAAAATATCAGTGTTCACCCCTCCTTTGATAATCTATATTTCCCTATTTTCTAAATATTTGTAATTGCAAATATATTCTTATTACCCCCTCATCTCCATGTGGAATCCCCCTTTTTAATTAACCATTATCTCTATGTAAACAGTTTCTTTTCATTATTTTACAATTCCCATATTTCTTTATTTCCTGCTCCTGTTTCTCATTACCTCTTTTCCCCTTCATTTTCCCATATCTTTTCTCCTTCCAGTTTGCGTCCCTCTCCCTCTTTGTATCTACCTTTCCCCTTTTCTGCTGCTCCTTTCTGCCTTTCCTAGTTTCACAGGTATTCCCCTTTTAGTTACCTTCTTGAATCTCAAAATTTTAACGCCCCTTCTTTTCCCTCTTCTTTGTGGTATTCTTTGCGTTAATTGTCTATTTAAGATGGCTTCTCCTTGAATTAACTCCTCCTTCTCTGAAGTTCTTTCTTCATGTTCTTCAATCGCCATTTCCATAGCTTCCATAGCTCAATATTTATTTAACATTGTATCAACTCAAGTTCATAAAGAAACAGGATCTTTTCCCTTTTATTTTTAAATTTAAATTTTTGTCCACAAGATGGCACTCTCCGTTATGCAAAGTTTTCATTCCCCCCCCCCTGTTTTATTATTCAGGACTTTTCGAGTCTCAATATTCCAATACAATCAAATCTCCAGTTTGTATATTTGCCCCCCCCTTTTTTTGACACTCTTAAGTCCAGCTTTAATTTATGCCTGTTTGTTGCCAAAATATTTTAATCCAATTTAGTTAAGTATCTTGTTCCGGCTTCTTTCTTTCCCAGTTTGAAGCCCTGTTTATCTGTCAAAGTTATTTTTCTTTTCTTTGTTTCCTTCCCTTTTATTTCTGCCACTTTTTTTTTTTAGAAATTCATTGTTACATTAATCCTGGGGTACCTTTTATTTGGTTGTTGCGCCCAATTATCCTGGCTCACATGCTATCCACCTTTCTTCACTTAGTACCGCTGAGTCCTCCTCTTCGGGGTAGCCATTTTAGACCACCGCTTCAGTCGTCTTCGAGGGGGGCCAAGCCCAGAGGGAGAGATGCGGCTCCCCTCAACCTGGCTGGCAGCTTCCCCTTTCTCCGCTGCCCTGCTGAGGCAGTTTCAGCCCCTAATCGCAATGATTGGGGCTCTCCGACGAAAGAGCACGGTCCGTAGCCACGGACAATCGCTATCTACGGTTCATCAGCGAGGAGGGCTCAACCCGGAAGCCCAGCATGACATTATTTTATGCTTTCAGCTAAGGCTCTGTTAGCTATTTTTTTTTAATTAGATAGCTCTTCAAATTCAATATAATTTCAAGTTTTCTTATTGTACAGTATACTTAATAAGTTTGTAGAATGTGCTGTGGTGCAGACATTGAGAAAAAGGGGAAACTTACTGAAAATCAGATCATGTCATTGGTGAGTAGAGCCAAAACAAAACATATTTCGCTCTTTTTTCCCATGTGCAATCAATTTACTTTGACTCTGCAAGGCTTACTTTCGGTCTACTTAAAGACTGAAAGGAAGCAAAAAGAAAAGGAGTGAAATCATCTACTGCCATTTACTTCCATAACTAGGTTCTTTAAACCCTGTTCATTTTTATTTATAATGTTCTTGGATTTTAATTTAGTCACATTTCAATACATAGTATACAAAAGTATTTAAGCATTTTTGATAATTTTGTGCTTAAAGAATCGAAAAGAGCAGTACTGTACTTGAAATGTTTTTGATTTATTTGATTTGTCAATCGCTTCCAAAATAATAGGTATAAGGATAAACATAGTTATGAATACATGAAATGAATACATATAAGAAAAATAAAAGAAACAATAGGACAGGGACGGTAGGCATGTTGGTGCACTTACGCACGCCCCATTATGAGCTTTTAGCTAAAAGCTCAATTATGCACAATGTACAAAACCAAGTATATTACTTAAAAATTGAACATGCCTATAGTGAACCTCTTCTGAAGGCTATAAAAACAATGACTTATACCACAAGAGTTTAGTGGTGATGAAAACATGTTCATAGAGTTCATGGAGCAACTGGAGCCAAAATTGCAATCTACATCTATAGAAAATGTCTTAGTCAAACAAATAGAATTTCATTAGTTTTCTGCATTCCACATAATTTACAGATTACTTCTCAGTATATTAAAAGCAAAGTAGAGTTCTCTCAGCAATCTTAAACATTTACTTTCCATATTTATGTCATTATTTGCCTGGAATATGTTAACCAAGACAGAAGTATTTTGTTTTTTATCCAGATAGATATACATTTTTAAATTGAAATTTTCTGCTAAAATCTTCATTTTTGGTCAAAGATAAAGAAAGGGATCTAATTACATCATAAGTACTATAAGATGCAGATAAAGAAGTAATGTTTTGCAAGCGTTCATGTAAAGACTATATTTTTCGAATAAAGAACATAGATCTAATGTAAGCAGATGGTTTTACATTAAACAACAATGCTACAACAATTCATGTTTAGGTACAATTTATGGACAGCTATTTACAGTGGTACTTTTTAATAAGTTTGGAACTCCATCACACCATATGAATTATATATATGCATTAAACAAAAATTATATATGTTACTTTTTGGATGCGATAACAGAATTCTGCCATGGAAATATGAATTGTGAAGACATAATTAAAATACATAAAATAATAGCTAATAAATCTGCCCATTTGTTATTTATTTAGAAAATGCCTTTTGATATATAAGTGTATCAAAATTTTCATATGAAGTCTTTGTAATCTTTATTGTTCTTCTTTGTGTATGTTATAGTAAAAGATAAAATGAAGTTTTTATAATTTTACATCTGCATATGTTTTGTTTAGCATTACTGAAACTTACCCTATATTCAGGTGATTTATAGTTTATCCTTCGCAATCCAGCTTAGCTTTTAAATTGTGGAACAAGCTAAAAGAAAATCTATGCAAACTGCCTGGTGCAAGTGAACATAGAAACTTCTCAAAAGAAATGCTCAATGATAGTCAATTATAAAGTCCAGGATTAATGAAGCATTGCTATTGCTATGCTGCTAATTCATTTCATGTGGGAAATACAATGTTTTCCTTCTAATGTAATTATTGAGTTAGGATAGCAACTTATATACTTAAAAACTGCATGTATACATGGAAGGCCTTCATGTGTTTCACCCCAGACAAAGTCTTGAGCTGACGATGGCAAAAACACACTTCAATTGGAAAAGGTCCTTAATTCATGTAGATTAATCAATATTAAGCTAGCCTTTGAAATAGATTCCCAAACCAGTGGATGGATGGCTGATCTTAGCAGATCTGATAGAATTTCAAATTGAGGTCTAATTTCTCGCATCCTGTGTCCAGAATTAGAGGCTTCTGAACATTTGCCTTTCGTGTCCCCAGAACACAACAGGATCTAAAGAATTCCTAAAAAGTCCGCCAGAACTAATCTGATCATTTTGTGTCAGGATATAATACCATAGCCATATGAAAAGCTATGAAATGTGTTGTATCCAATATTTTTTTTTCTTGAATATCTTTTCCCTTCCTGAGTTGTGTGGCTAGTTCATTTGAAGTTGGGATGGGAACTGTTTTCAAAAGCAGTTTATGAGAAAGCGTTGGAGTAAACAATTCAAAGGAAAGTAGCCTGTCAGCTCCTGCTTCTTGTATGTGTGATGACCCAGGGTGGGATACAAAACAAACACAGTCACAGAAAACAGGTGAAGCCCCCTTTATTCCTTCACTTTGCTTCCAAGCTCCGAATATCTGATGGAAAACGAAAAACTTCCATAGTTACATGAAGAAGGAAAAAACCAACACAAATCAGGCAAGATAAGGGCTGGAGGATGTCTATAGATAACACACACTGGGAAGGATGCCAAACTCAGGGAGGAACTATAAACTAGAGAAATTTACACACTTTGTTTCCAGTGTTCACCAGGACGCAGGTCCATACTCATTCAGTTGTCACTGCAGTCCATGAAGAGGATCAAGGCCCTCTCCTCCTGAGTAGACCACATCTCTCCCTTATTCTCTCCTCCCTGCGTGCCCTAGGATGGATAGGGGATGGGCCTGGGTCCTTCTCTGAGTGCTCAGCCGGCCTCTGCTCTTCCCCAGCCTCCACAACCTCTGGAGCCACACTTCCACTCCCTTTCGGCTGTTCCTCCTCTCCCTCAGAGTCAGTCTCTACCAGGGGCATGACAGTATGAACTAAGTTGGTTCCAAGGAGAAGGAAGTATCAGGGCAGGAGAGGCCATTTTACAAACTGAGTTTTATTTAGCAATAGCACTTAGACTTATATGCTGCCCCATAGTGCTTTACAGCACTCTCTGAGTGGTTATAATGTCACCATATTGCCCCCAACAATCTGGGTCCTCATGTTACTGATCTCAGAAGGATGGTGGATGAATCAACCTTGAGCACCATCAGGATCGGACTCCAGGCTGTGGGCAGAGTTTGCCTGCAGTACTGCATTCTAACCACTGTACCACCAAGGCTCTTTAATCTATCAAGTAATGAATACATATTTAGTAAAACCCTTGTAGTGAATCACAACAAAATACCATCTTCAGCACATTAGGCCCACACTAGCTCACTTGATACCATGGGGAACCAACTTGGATGAAATAGCAGAATTATAATTAAGTGCTCTAGGATATATTGATTTTAAATCTTTCAAAAGAAAAATGAATATATTTTACTTCAGCCTGCTCTGAATATGCCCACCCTGTTGGATATTGGCAAAAAATGTTAACTGCAGAAAGAATTACAAATATTTTGTAGCTGAATCATCTCATAAAAATGCAGTTAATATTCTATGACAATCCAAATAGTAACTAGAATTTGGATTAGATTTGTCCATGTTCTACTTCATTGTCACAGGTATTTTAAATAGTAAGGGTAGTTATTGTGAATTATTAGCTTATTTGCAGCTAATAAATGCAGATAACCCCTGGTTTCTGCAAAAAATGTTTTAAGGCATGCTTTTTATACACCTTCAGAGTTTGAACAGTTCACCAGCTGATTAGCTTTTTATAGTAATAAATGCTTAAAAGTGTTCCTTAAACTATCATATTTGGATTTTCATTGTCATGCTAAAGAGAAACCCAAATTTTATATATTTCTAGTTTTTAAACTAAGAATCTTCAGTATCTGGACCACTGTTAAGTTTTTGCTTTTGCTTTAAGAGCTAGATACAACTCCTGGTTGGCAAGGAAACTCAGAGTCAGTCATAATAATTATTTCTTACACTCTTGTTCGGATAAAACTTGAGAAAAACAACCATACAGATCACTTTGGTATGGATAATTCATAGAACATAGAATAATAGAGTTGGAAGGGACCTCAGAAGTCTAGTCCAACCCCCTGCTTAAGCAGGAGACACATATCATTTCAGACAAATTCAGACAAAAAGTCCAGTCTCTTTGAAATCCTCCTGTGAAAGAGCACCCACAACTTATGAAGGCAAAGTTTTTCATTGGTTGATTGCTCTCACCCTTAAGAAAGTTCTCCTTAGTATATTTTTCAAAGAACATAGAACTTTTATGATTGTTCCATGAACGCTCAGTATTAAGATGATTAATTGCAAACATTGCCATCAGTCTCTCTATAAATATTGCAGTATGAGGATAAAGATTTGGTTACTATATACTTTGTATATGAGACTGCAGAAAAAATCCAAATCCAAAAATGTTTTGTCCACCACTGTGTGTTTCTTAGTGGTGGACAAAACATTTCATATTTGAAATATTTTTGGCTTAAAACACTTTGTTCTGAGTTCAAGACAGTTCTGATTATCCTGGAAGTCTTCTGAGCTTCAAACAGGTTTGTTTAGAGCCTCAAACACTAGTTGCAAGTTCAAAATGAAACTGCTTTGAACTGAAGAGAGTTTTGGAATATGTGAATTTTCTCTCAAGAATGAAGGCGAATATACGTGTCCCAGGATAATGTTGCAGGATCCAGTCTGGGTCAGTCACCAGGACCAGAGATTGTGTCTTCTGAGTTTTCAGATTCGTGCTGGAGCCCATCTTCAGGGAATTTCTCTCTAGTTCCAGCAAGAATCCAAAAGCTCGGAAGACAAAACCTTTGTTCCGGGCGACTGACCCAGATTGGATCCTGCATTTTCTCTTCCTTTGTATGCCCAAACTAAGGTAGGGCTAGAAAGTAGTAATCCTTTCCCTCACTAGTATTCTTTTCTAGTATTTAAATTGGAGCTTTGGCAAATACATATTTTCCTGCTAGGTAGATGTATAATTGTTCTCAAAATGACAGGACATATTCTCTGTCCCAAACAGAAAAACTGTACCAGCTACCAGCCAGTTACTAATACAAAAAAGATATAGAAATAGAAGGATTCCTGTTTTTTTTTGTGGGGGAATTGGCATTTTGAAGCTGAAATTGCAGAAGCTGGTCTGTATGAGTTGAAAACTACAGTTCCATTAGAAGGAAGCAAGCAAGCATGAATCTTGAAGGGAAATGACATGGAATGGTGAAAAGCAAGAACTGAGATATTGAAAGCCTAAGAAAGCAGCTGGCATTAAGCTGAAGAAAAGTAAGAACAAAGGAAGCAACAGATACTGAAATAACAGAGAGAGTGCTGAATCTTGTTATCTAATAATTTACCAGTGTGAAATAGATATTTTGTGAAGAGCTGGCAAGCTAAAAGATTGAAAAAAAATGACAAAAGTGAAGTGATTTAGAGCAATTAAAATCATTTCATCAGCACCAGAAGATGTACCAAGAATATTAGGAGGTTGTGTAATAGTTTGATTCAGTGCAAAAAAATTAACCAAGACCTGTAAATAAGAGAATTGGAAATACCTGGGGAGCAAGTACTAGAATAAATTAAGCATAAAATAGGAAATGATTAGGTTTAAGTGAAACTTAAAATCTGCTTATGATCCTATGAAGCTATAAATTATTCCCACTTATTGTCTTGCTTCCCTGTTGAAATGGTGACAATATCCACAATGTCTGTAAAGACAGTCAAGCCACTTCTAATAAGCCACTTGGAATAAGCAATTTTCAGTTCAGAAAATTTTGAATGTTAAATTGTTTCTATCATATTGTAATATGAGAAGGTGGGTTGCCAATAAATTAATAGCAGCTTTTGTTAGCTGTGGATGTGTTTTAACTAGGTTAGCTAATTAGTATTTAACCACTAGCAGTCATTTGTCCTTTATAGAGTTTTCAAGGAAAAATATTAACAATTTTAAATAGTGTATTTGTTAATTGCATTATAAAAATCAGTTATTCAAACCAAATATCTTGTACATTTAATCATAAAATCGAAGAACATTTTTAATGAAATCATAGATGTATTAATTCCTTCTAAAGCTCACCAAAATGTACCCAAAAGTTTGGATCTAGAATTAATTATGTTCAGAGTGGATCTATTAAATTTAGTAAGACAAATCAACTAAATCACTACACTCCATTAAGTGAAATAAATTTAAATAAAACCATGAATTTACTAGTCATCACGTTTGCTGAACAATTAGGAGTATGTATAATTCTCACTTATTCTAATAATGTAATATTAGTACTTTGTAATCAATTTAACACTACTTCTTGTGTTAAATGTAATTTTGAAAAGTTAATGTTATCCATACAATGAGGTTTGAAGGGGAAAAAAGATATGTAGCTGTATAAATCATAAAAAGTTTTTCCTATATATCCAAAGGAAATCCTACGCATCCACATGAGTCTGATGGAAGGTGGAAAGAGAGAAGCAGGTCAGCATTGTTAGATAGGGATTAAATTTCATCATCTCAGGG